TCTTCTGCGTCCTCCTATTGCCGCGCCCGCAGCGGGAGCCCAGGTCCGCGCCCGCCGGCGGGGGCGACGATGAGCTGGATTCGAGAAGGGCGGCTCGCCGACCACAGCCGCTGCACGGCCCGCGAGCCCCCGCCGGGGACGCTGCCGGCTGGGAGGTCCTGCAGAGCCTCCTCCTCCTCCACCCCTCTTCCTCCCGCCCCTCCTCCCCTCCACCCCCTCCTCCTCCTCGTCCTCCTCTCCTCGTCCTCCTCCTCCTCCTCCTCCCCTCCTCCTCCTCTCCCTCCTCCTCCGCCTCCTCCTGCTCCTCCGCATGAGCATGGCGACTCGGAGGTCCGCGCGGATGTCTCGTATCGGCGGTGGGCCGCGGACCCCCCTCCCTGGCGCGCGGAGCGCGCCAGGGGCGGCGCTGGAGGCGCCGCCAGGGGGCTCCAGCACCGATCGGAGGAGTCCGCGCGGACCTCCGAGTTTTTATGTTTATGTCATTGCTTGATCCCCTACCGACGTTCTATTCAGGGCGCGAGCCAGGCGGTGTTTGGGCGAATACGTGAACCGTCTTCCTTTAGATGTTTCGTTTTGCAGCAGAGGCGGAGCGAAGGCAGAGCGAGGCCAGACCATTTTGTTTAGCTCGAGCCTTGGTTCTAGGCCTCCCGAATGGGGTCCCGCCCCTCCCGGCCTCGTCTGGGCGGGCGTCTCGGCTGGGCGGGCGTGTACACCACGGTAGGGAGGGATCCGGCCAGGCGCGGCGGCGGCGACGACGATGACGCAGACGACGACGACGACGACGACGACGACGACGACGACCACGACGACGACGACGACGATGACGACGACCAGGACCACGACCACGACCACGACCACGACCACGACCACGATCACGACGACCACGACCACGACCACTACCCATGTCGATCCGCTCGATCCGGATCGACATCGATTACAGCGGGCTCGATCCGATTCGATTCCGATGTTCCCACGATCCGACGCGGCCCGATGCTCGCATGGCGCCGTTGTGCATCCTGGCGCGGCTGATCCGACTCGATTCCGAGTGCGTGCCGGTGCAGCCCGATCCGACGCAGGCGTCGGTCCGATCGGGTTTCCCGATTCGGCGCCGACCTGTGCTCAGAGCCCCACATCATCAGGGGTAACTCGGGTCAGGGATAACTCGGGTTCGTTTTTCGGAAATCCGAACCCGAGTTATCCCGGACCCGAGTTACCCCCGATAACTCGGGCGTCCAGAGCCCCGAATCATCAGGGATAACTCGGGTCAGGGCTAACTCGGGTTCCTTTTCCGGGAATCCAAACCCGAGTTACCCCGGACCCGAGTTACCCCGGATAATTCGGGCGCCCAATGTGCAGCAGTGGTGGCGCACGGGTGCCTCCTGCGTGCGGCATGCATCACCGGGCAGCTCGCCCCTCTTGGCCCGCAGCAGGCCCCCGCGCCAAGGGGCGGGAGCAGCACCGTGGGCCTGTACTTACCGGGGCCCTGGGCGGGCCGAGCCGGCGGGCGCCCAAACTCTCAGGAGGGGAGAAAACACAGACAGAATGAATCGTCGATCCCCCAGAAAATATAGGAAAATATGGGAAGTGGGGGGGAAGACGAAAACCCAGGAAATATGGGAAAATATGGGGAATCCATTTAATTGTGTGTATGTATTCCCTACCTAGGCTCTGCCTAGAAGGGTTCTGACTCGGCATGCTTAAAGGGCCGGGCAGTGCAACTCGCCCCGGGCGGTTCCCCCAGTATCCGCCCCGCGGTTCCCCCAGTTACGTCCCCTTAGCTTAGCGTTGCTTATCTCATCTTAGCTTAGCCTAGTTTAACTTAGCTTAGCTTAGCTTAGCTTAGCCTAGCCTAGCTTAGCTTAGCTTAGCTTAGCCTAGCCTAGCTTAGCTTAGCTTAGCTTGGCTTAGCTCAGATTAGCTTAGCTTAGCTCAGCGCAGCATTAGCATTGCACAGCATAGCATGTCATAGCATAGCATGTCATATCATAGCATAGCATAGCGCATCATATCATAGTATAGCATATCATGTCATAGCATGTCATAGCGCAGCATATCATATCATAACATTTCAAATTATAACATAGCGCATCATATCATAGTATAGCATATTATAGCGCAGCCTAGCATAGCATATCATAGCATACCGCAGCATGGCATAGCATATCATAGCCTAGCATAACATAGCGCAGCCTAGCATACCCTAGCATAGCATAGCACAGCACAGCGCAGCGCAGCATAGCACAGCGCAGCATAACATAGCATAGCAAAGCATAGCATGGCATAGCATAGCATAGCGCAGCATAGCATAGCATAGCATAGCATAGCATAGCATAGCATAGCACAGCTCCTACTAATGCTGATTTCCTAGAGGCTGAAACTCCCAGGTAGGGTCGCACTGGGATCATTTGTGTGTGTTTCAATGTGTGTCCCAGGGCCCCTTTGGCAAACTGGTGAGCCGGAGCCTGCCGCTCGCTTGCGAGCGTCGCTCAGGACCTCCAGGCGGCTCCAGCCTGGCCCAGGGTGGGCCTGCACGGGGTCCCCGGGGCAGCCCTCCAGGCACCTCGAGCCTCTTCCCCAGCATGCCACACCAGAACAAAGTCCTCGGGCTTCGCGAGTTCCCCACCAGCCCGTTCAGAAGCCTTGCCCGTGAGAGCTGTGACGGAGGAAGGGGGCGAAGAGACACATAAGATAGTGAAACAGAGTGGGTCACCAGGATGAACATAGAGATCTTTGGGAACGAGGGGGTGGCATTGGAGGGCCTCTCCGGGCCATTCCTGGGGCCCGCGCGGGGGCGAGGGCCCTCTTGGGGCCCTTTTGGTGGCCTCTTGGGAGCCCTGCATGGCCTCCTGGGGCAATTTGGGAGGCCATCGATCAAAAAGATCCAGGCCCCCCTTCAAGAGCCCTCAAAACCGTCTCGTGGGGCCCTCTTGGGGCGTTCTTGGGGCGCTCTTGGACGCTCTTGGTGCCGTCTGGGGTGCCTCTAGGACCCCTCTTGGGGCTCTCTTGGGCCATCTTGGGGGCATCTTGAGGCTTCAATCGCAGATCGGAAGCGAAATGGCGAGCAGGCACAAATCAGTGTTTTGTTGCATGCGTTTGTTTGACAGATTTGGGCTTCTGGGGGGTCTTGATAAGGGGGCTCCGGGAGCACTTGTAACCGTCTGATGGGCTTTTTTGGGGCCCTTTGGAGGCATGTCGGAAGCTGTCTTGAACCATCTTCGGCTATGTAGAGCCATTTGAGAGGCAATCTTGGCATCGGGAGCCCTCTTGGAGCCATTTTGGGCCATCTTCGGCGCCCTGACGACTCGCGCCCCCCCCTCCCCCAAGCCAAAAACGACAGGGGGGGGAGGAGGAGGGTACCCCTCCCCGAAGGGAAGATGGGGTTGTGGAAGAGGGACGTAAACACGTATTGTTAGACTACCTACGCTCAGAGGGCTGGCGGGATGAATTCCGACAAGCCCGATGCCCTCACCTCCTGCCCTGAAATTGCCAGCCAGATATCCTCACCCCCTGGCTTCAAACTGCCAGCCAATTATCCCAATCCCCCAGCCAACACTGTTAGCCAGATATCCGAACCGCACGCGGATGATATTGCCGAGTAACGGCTGGTTTCATTCAGTTGTTCAGTTGTCAGCCAGTCTACGTCACAGAAATCGAATACGGGCTACGCCCAAATCAATCACAGGGGGCCGTGGTTGGTTATATAAGTATGTCTTCGGGGGGGGCGCATGCTAGGCCCCGTGGCCGTCTGACAACGCCTTCATCTCCTGCCTCGGCAATACGTCACAGCGGACGCACTCAATATTCGTTCTGTACGATCTACATGGATACGGAAAGAATGGGTACCAAGATCGACCGCAGTCCCGGTCCATTTCGAATCGGGTTCGTTGTCGGCGTCGCTGCGGACGTTGGCCGTTTGAGACAGAAGTCCGCCTACCCAACAGCGGCCGCTGTCGGTTTTGAACAACATGTATCATTGTTGGGCATCGTACCCCTTCTTTCCGTACCTATTCCTTGCGCCCAATTTTGTCATCATTCAAGCGCCGTTGCGGTGCGCCATTCTATGCGTTTGTACCAGGACGTGCACGCATCATCTATCCGAAAGGCTTATGCCAGGACGATGCCTGGGGCTGCTCGAGCTCTCTCTGGGTACAGTCACCCTGTTGGGATCATTTCTATGGAGGAATGGAGGAAACACGATGGCCATGGCCTAGATGTCGCGGGACTTTGTGGATGCCGATCGTGGTCATGGTCCATGCTGATGACGCCACCGATTCGCGAGGATGATGCACACATTGATGATGCCCAAGATGTACTACGACCAACATTGACACCCGCGTTTCCGTACTCAGCCTTGGCCGTGGTCTTCGTATTGTTTCTGTTCAAGATCCATTTTGTTGTCGGAGTGGGTTCGATGTTCCTAGGGTCCTTCCGTGGGCTCTCTGGGGATCCTGGCGTATCTCGGAGGAACTGATGGCCAGGGGCTTCGTTCCGTGCTGAGGGTTCTTGATGGCAATGTGATACTTGTAGGGCAGGTGAAGAAGGACGAGGAGGAGGAGGAGGAGGAGGAGGAGAAGGAGGAAGGGTAGCAAGGTGAATCGGGTGAGGAGGAGGATCGCAGGTGACCTCTCTCCCCCAGTCTCCGAGTTCCCCACCCCCGGGAAAGCGGGCCGCTCAGAACATCATGAAATGGTGTGGATACTTGCGTCGGAATGCGAGCTGGTACGGACATCAGGGATGCTGGCGCCGATGCCACTCCTTGTGGTACTACCACTGCTGCTAGTGCTACAATCTGCCAGTCCAGAGACGTCCGCGCGCAGTCATTCATGTGGCCAGCGCTGAGGCGGGACCACGGGTCCGACGTGGGGATGTGGTGTTGTTGCAGCAGACGCAGTCGAATTAGTATGACCTTTCGGAGCCTCGAAAGGAGTGTCGGGCTGGTAGGCCCTAGGGCGAGAGTTCCATTCGTAAGTAGCTAAAGTTGTACCTCTTGACGCCTCCGTAGCCGTTTTGGCTCCAGGTGGGTTGACTGCATGGCGCAGCATACATTTGAACGCACAAGAGATGTGGACAACTTATGCCTTTTGACTGCCCCAGACGACGACGAGGATGTTGACAAGAAGCACCAACACAAGTCTGGCGCGAAGCAGCTTGATCCCATTAAGCATTTGGAGCAGTGGCGCGTTATCTGCATTGATTTCCACCGATTCCGCGCCAAATGTCCAGACAAGTGCAAGGTCTTAATCCGCCAAGGCATTCCAGAATTTCTGCGGGGCTCGGTTTGGCAGAAGCTGGCGCTTTCCAGAGAGCTGCTGCAGAGACATCCGAAAGATTTGTACGAAAATATGAGGCGCACGGAGGCTGCGCCATGCGAGGTTGATATCATGAAGGACATGAATCGTACTTTCCCAAAGCATGTGCTCTATCGCGATAAGCAAGGCCTAGGGCAACGTCAGCTGCTTAATGTGCTCCGGGCCTATTCTGTCTTCAACGCGGAGGTTGGCTATTGCCAAGGCATGGGGTTCATTTGCGGTGTGCTCCTGATGTACATGGGCGAGGATGACGCGTTTCTGATGTTGATTTCGCTGCTTGAGAACTACAGGATGGCTGGCCTTTTCATGGACAATTTGCCCCTGCTCAATAAATATTTTTTTCAGCTGCAGCGGCTCATCGAGATGCACATGCCGCTCCTTTACAACCATTTTGCGCAGCAAGGCGTGGAGCCCACGATGTACGCATCGCAGTGGTTCATGACCGTGTGTATCTACAACTTCCCATTCTCGACGGTGGTCCGGGTATGGGACATTTTCCTGGCGGAGGGCGTGAAGATCATCTTCCGCATCGCGTTGGCCTTGCTGAAGCTCAACCAGGAGGCATTGTTGGGCGAGTCATTCGAGCAGATCTTGCAGACCCTGAAGCAGGCGCCCAGTCGCGTCGAGTCGGACGCGCTTGTGCAGGCGGCATTGGGAATCAAGCTGAAGAATCGGACACTGAAGGAGATAGAGAACGAGTGGCTGGCGCAGCTGAACATGGAGCCCTGAGAGGCCTCGCACTCCCCGCTCCTACGATCTCCCGCCAGCTCCGTCCCACCTCCCTGCCCACTCCTCTGTCCGCCGTGGCGCTCTCTGCTGCCATCATGACCGAGCTCCGCGTGCTCTAGGTGCAGAGGCGGCGAATCGGAAAAAGCGTAGCCCGAGCCAGCGCGAGAGCGCAATCTCGGACCAGGAGCGTGACGGGCGCGGGCGAGAGCTTGCCACTCCGAGCCTGGAGCCAGGCCGGCGCCGTGGGCGAGGGTGGTGTGCCGAGCCGGGAGCGTGCCCCGCGCAAGAAGCGCCAGGGAGCCACTCCGAGCCGGCAGCGCGGCCGGCACCGAGGCGGGGATCGCCACTCGTCGGGGGAAGGCGGGATCACCGCCATAACCCGGAGAGGGCGGTGGGAGCACGGGGTCGTGGGTGGTGGTCGTGTGCATGCTCGGGGTGTCTCCGCGGGGCATCCTGAGCGCTTGCGCGTCGCGGGTCGGCAGATGGTGCTCCCTTGGCCAGGTGTTGGCATCGAGGCTTCTTCTTCTTCTTCTTCCGAGCTGCGAGCTGCGAAATTGCGACTGAGCGGGAGAGGCCCTTTGTGACGATGAAGCGATCTGCGTGGCACGCAGCTGCAATTCCAACATGTGGTTGCCACGGGGCTGAGTTTGTTGGTGCCTTGTACCTGGCTCGCAGCTCAGGCGGGATGAATCACGGATTTCGTGTTCGAGGGATTTCGTGTTCGAGGGATTTCGTGTTCGAGGGATTTCCCAACGGATTTCGTGTTCGAGGGATCTCGTGTTCGAGGGTACTTGCGTAGAGTGGTTTCCCCACGGATTTCGTGCTCGAGGGATGAGCGCAGCTTCATTTCAATACTGCCTGTGGCGAGGCCACCGCGCCTGTGGAGTACACGTCACGATCAGTGGGCTGCGCAATCTATGCACCAGGCGCGGTGGCCTCCTCCTCCTCCTCCTCCTCCTCCTCCTCCTCCTCCTCCTCCCTCCTCCTCCTCCTCCTCCTCCTCCTCCCTCCTCCTCCTCCTCCTCCTCCTCCTCAGGAGGAGGAGGAGGAGGAGGTCATGATCAGTGGGCAGCGTTCAGACAGAATGCTTCGGTGTTCGAGGGCCTCAAGTTATGGCCAGTCAAGCCTCTTGGATCCTCCCAGTGCTGGTACCGCCGCCCGTCATCCGCCTCCTTCTCTCTCGCATGTTTCCAGTCCTTCTGTTCTACGGACCGGCTCGCCACATCTCAGACCAGTTGTCAACTCTGGAGGTGACTATTCGAAACTCGTCCCTACCAGCGTCAGTTAGTTCTGTGTTGGTGTGTGATTGTTCGAGCTCGTATGCTTGTAAAGTTCAGTCAAACTATCGTTGTCTTGTTCTTGTCCTCTCTCGCTCTCTATCTCTCTCTCTCTCTCTCTGTCTCTTTAGACCTCCGTTCCCTCTGTGCTACCACACTTTTGAAGAACGCTTGACGAAAGTGGCCATGGGTTTTGAGGGAGCGCTTTGGTGTCGCATCGGAGTCTCCATGGGGCGGCGTGGTCGTGGAGCCATGAACGCATAATATTTTTGGTATGGGGTCATGCTGAGGCCATGGGGAGATGAGGTCATGCAGGGGCCATCGTGGGATCATCTTGGAGTCGTAGGGTTATGAGGGTATGTTGGGAAGTTAGGGGGGAGCTTCGGATCTTGGGATCTTGTAGGGGCCATTCTGGGGTTATGCTGGAGTCGTCATTGGGTCATGTGGGGTCCACATCGGGCTGTTGTTGCGTCGTCTTTGGTTCATCCGGTCATCCCCGAACCATCGTGGGGTCATGTGGTGTCGCCAGGGGGCCATCTAGGTGTCATCGGGTCATCCGAGGGCCACGTTGTGGTTTCATGGGGTCGTCATGGGGTCATCTTGGGATCATCTTGGAATCACCCTTGGGTCATCTCGGGACTCCCTGGGGTACAGTGGGGGCGCGTGCCAAGAAACCAGTTGGATTTTGCCAGGGTGCCCTGGATTTCTTGGATCTCGATGGCCCCCAATATGATCTTGACGATTTTCGATAGACAAATCTGGATTTTCACACTGAACAAATCGCGGATTTCACGGTTCCCGTTTCCATGTGAAATCGCGGATTGCCGCCGCCGAGCGAGGCGGCACCGGCCGCATCTTGGGGAGGGCACTTCCCCGATCCATGGATTTGGCGACTGCGCGCCAGATCTATGGATCGCTGATCCGCGCCTGCGCGCCCCCGAATCCTGGGACTCCCTGGGGTAATTCTGGGGCCACGTGGCCGGTCTGCGGCCGGGAGGGGGTCGTCCAGGGGGTCGGCACGGGGTTCTGCTTCGGCCATTCGTGGTTCACCTTGGGGCCGTCGTTCGGCCGCGAGCAGAGGAGGGTGGGGGGAGGGGGGAGGGCTGCTAAGAAGCAGCCTCCTTCTAAGCAGCCCTCCCCCCAATCTCCACCCCCTTGTGCGCACCGCCAAGTCGTGACGTCCTCTCGGGGTCGCGTCGTTGTCTGCTCGTGCTCCACTCCATCCAGTGCTGCTGACTCCGCCGCGTCTGCCCGATTGTGCCTGCCGACGGCGCCCCCCCCTCCTCCCCCGTCCAATACTGCGTTCAACGGCATCGGCCCAGCGGGGTGCCAACTTTAAGGATGGGGGTTGGAGGGGCTGCTGAATCGATCCGTCACGTTTCTCTTCGCGAGGGTTGCAGTGGACCTCAACAGCGCAGACAACTCCTTCCAAGGTTCCTCGATACGAGGCCGCTCTTGGCGCCTCCAGGCGCCAGAGAACCAGCATCATACAGCTGATTCCCCAAGAATCCTTCCTTACCCCAGAGTGGCGCAACGAGCTTTGATGTCTTGCGATTCGCTTTGTCAGACGGCCGAGTCGACGTCAACACCCGAGGAGCGCGGGCGTCATATCTACAAGTTCACGACCGAGGTGCAGTACACCCTGGGTGAATGCAAACGCGGCGCAACAAAATTAGCTTGACGAAGGACCCAACCATATGCAGCTGCGAATACCGCGAGTGGGCAGCTCGCCGCAGTATGCCGAGTGCGAATACCGCGGGGCGCAAACTCTGGCAGCGCAGGCAGGGGTGATGGGGGAGGGGAGCGGAGCGGGATGGTGGGCTCTCAGATGTTTCTCCCTCTGTGTTCTCGCGCCCCGGTGACCGCGGCTCTGGGCGGGGCGCAACGCGGAGTCCCCGCGACGCGCGCCGGTTGCCCCGCAGGGGTCGCCTCGACCTCCGACGTCCGTGTTCTTCTTCTCTACTCTGAGGGGTGTGCCGAAATGGGCGCGGACGCATGCGGGCGGCGCCACTGGGACCGTCGGTGGAGCTCCCTACGGGGCCACGAGTCGTGCGCGGGGTGTGCCGAATTATTGGTGGCGCGGACGCATGTGGACGCAGCCACTGGGGCCTTCGGTGGAGCTCCCTATAGCGCCACGAAGCGTGTGCGGGGCGTGCCAAAGTGGGCGCGGGATGCATGTGGACGCAGACACTGGGTCTTTCGGTGGAGCTCCCTATGGGGCCACGAGGCGTGCGAGGAATGTGCCCAACTTGGTGGCGGGGACGCATGTGGGCTGCGCCACTGGGACCTTCGGTGGAGCTTCCCATGGGGCCACGAAACGTGTGAGGGGTGTGCTGAAATGGGCGCCGGGGACACATGCGAACAGCGCCACTGGGACCTTGGGTGGAGCTCCCTATGGGGCCACGAAGCGTGTGATGTGTGTGCCGAAATGTGTGACGAGGACGCATGCGAACTGCGCCACTAGGACCTTCGGTGGACCTCCCTATAGCGCCACGAAACGTGTGAGGGGTGTACCAGCATGCGTGGCGGGGACGCATGCGAGCTGCGACACTGGGTCCTTCGTTGGGTGGCGGGGACGCATGTGGACGCAGCCACAGAGACCTTCGGTGGAACTCCCTTTGGAGTCGCACGAAACGTGTGAGGGGTGCGCCGAAATTGGTGGCGGGGACGCATGTGGGCTGCGCCACTGGGGACTTCGGTGGAGCTCCCTTTGGGGCCACGTAGCGCGCGAAGGGGATTGCCGAACTTGGTGGCGGGGACGCATGCGAACTGAGCCACTGTGATCTTCGGTGGAGATCCTTCTGGGACCACGAAACATGCGAGGGGCATGCCGAAATTGGCGGCGGGGACGCATGCAACTTGCGGCACTGGGACCTTGGTTGGAGCCTCCTTTGGGCCACGAAGCGCGTGAAGGGAGTATTGGAATGGGTGCCGGGGACGCATGCGAACTGCGCCGCCGGGACTTTGGGTGGAGGTCCTTTGGGACCACGAAGCGCGTGATGGGTGTGCCGAAATGGGTGGCGGGGGCGCATGCGGTCTGCGCCACTGGGACCTTCGGTGGAGCTCCATTTATGGGCACGAAACGTGTGATGGGTGTGCCGATTTGAGTCGCGGGGGTGCATGCGAACTGCGCGCCACTGGGATTTTCGGTGGAGTTCCCTAATGATGGTGATGATGACGGCCATGATATTGATGATGTTGTTAACGATGACGATGGTGATCATGATGATGGTTGTGAGGATGATGGTGAGGATGATGGTGAGGATGATGATGATGCTGCTGCTGATGATGATGGTGATGCTGATGATGATGATGATGATGATGATGATGATGATGATGATGATGATGATGATGATGATGATGATGATGATGATTGTGTTGCTGATGAAATGGTGATGAGAGGAGGAGGGAGGGAGCAGCGGGAGGAGTGAGGTGACGCGGGGTGCTGCCTTTTCAAACCGAGGACCCAACACCAAAGGATGGTTGGGGAGAAGAACCGCAGACTCAGTCTAGACGTGCACATTCTCACATCTCCAGCCCTGCGCGCGGCGATACGTGCGGTCCGGGTTCATATCGCACAAGATGACAGAAACATGCGGGTGCATTGAACCACAAGCGCAAACAATGAGTCCATAACACACACCCATACTTTTGAAAAAGCGCGTTCTGTGGTCGCTTGGAGGGGGGGTGCAGGTTTGGAACCCGCCCCCCCCCCTCCCGTGACGGCGGCGGGGACGACGAATTTCCATTTCTGGGCCAGCGCCGGCGCCTGCGGCGGCGGGCGGCGTTGGCGGGGAGCGTCGACGAGGACGACGGTGGCGGTGGTGGTGGGTTGTGGTGGTGGTGGTGGTGGTGGTGGTTGTGGTGGTGGTGGTGTGGTGGTTTGTTGTGGTAGTGGTGGTTGTGGTGGTGGTTGTGGTGGTGGTTGTGGTGGTGGTTGTGGTGGTGGTGGTGGTTTCGTGGTGGTGTGGTGGTGGTGGTTTGTGGTGGTGGTGGTGGATTGTGGTGGTGGTGGTGGTTTGGTGGTGGTGTGGTGGTTGTTTGTGGTGGTGGTGGGTTGTGGTTGTGGCGGTGGT